AGAATTCACCTCTGCAGCAGTGAGGACCCTTTCCCCGGACGTCCCCACGGGCTTGCTGCTGCGCTTTGTCAGGGCGTGCAGACTCACCTGAAAGGCCACCGGCCTCCCTGTGGCGTCCATGGCCAGGGCCTTGTTATCCAGCCTTGATCCCAGAGACCCGAAGCCAGCAGGAGACCCTTTCGACTCCTCCCTCTTTCTCCAGCTTGTACTTCAGTGTCAGGAAAAAGCCCCAGGAAGCCGATCCAATGTCTTGACAGGTGTCTCATCTCCTGCAAGTCCAGATATTCGGTTTGACCTTAGAGCCACAGAGAGTAATGCAGAACTCAGATTGTGAATTATATAACTGGAGTTATACAACTGGGCCAGTGAATGAGGCCTCCCAGAATCTGCTAGTCAGTAAGCAAATGCAGACATGATAGTTGGCAGATTGGCTGGTGAAAACTCAGAGAAAAAAGGGATTTCAGGACCACCTGGTTTAAACTCTTCACCTGACAAATGCGAAACAGGCCTGGAGAGGGGAGGGGGTGCTTCGGGGTGTGCCAGTGACGCACGGCAGGCTGAGATTAGGGTTCGTGTGTATGGGTGTCTTTCTTTCTTTATTTTTAAAAATTATGCCAGAATGTTGCTACTCCCTACATCTTGCTTCTCATCTTCATTTTGGCCCAATTTACCAAATTAATTCAGATCAAAATGTTCACTCGGATTGTAAATTAGCTGAATAATTGCTGTATGGATCTCATCCTCGCGGCTCTGTCAGAGAACCCCACAGCTTCAGGGAGCCCTCAAAGCCAGCATGGGCATAAAAACCCTGCTGGGAAGGCAAGGCCGAGTGCTCCCCCGTGACCCACATGTCCCACCCGGACACCACTCAGCACATGCGGGGAGAGCCTGAATCACAGCAGGAAAGGAGAAAACTGGAGATTGTGAAGATGTTGGTTCTTCCAACACTAACTTAGAAGTTTAACTTTTCCTTAAACTGGTTTTTTTTTTTTTTTTTGGAGGACGAAAAGACTTGAAAAAATAAATTTTAAGTTTATCTAAAAAATATATAGGTGAAAATAGCCAAGAATTATGACAGAGGAGTTGAATGAGGCGACTTGCTTAAACATATGGCAGAACGTATCATAAATAATTACTGACCATGATGGTGCCACTATTCAGAGAGGTGGGAGATCTATTGAGGGTCACCCAAATAACCACCCTTTATACAGGCAGGATGGCAGCTCAGTGGGAGGGAGGGGTCCCTGAATACGTACCAGTAGAAAAAATGGCTTTTTCTTTGCGAAAAAATAGACAGTTTAGGACCCAAATTCATACCACAAAGCAAAGGGGACATAGGGGGAAAAAACATATTAAAATTAGAAGAGAAAATTTAAGTCAATGCTTGCCTCTAGGTGTAAAGGACATTCTAGGCATGAAAGTGATGGAATGATTAGTGATATTGAGCATATTTTCATATCCTTGTTGGCTGTGCGTATGGCTTCTTTTGAGAAGTGTCTCTTCATGTCCTTTGCCCGTTTTTAAATGGGGTTGCTTGTTTTTTGCTTGTTAATTTGTTTAAGCTCCTTGTGACTTCTGGATATTTATTTACAACAGATTTGGCTATATATTTTTAAAAAACGTCAGCACATCAAAAGGATCCTACAATGAAAAGGCAAAGGTTACAACTATCAAAGACAAATAATAAATTATGTGAAGGGTTCTTACTTATATTCATAAGAGAAACATTAAGGGCCTGCTATAGTTTGGGTGTTTGACCTCTCCAAATCTCATGTTGAAATTTAATCTGTACTGTGGGGGTCTTGGGAGGTGGGGCCCAGTGAAAGGTGTTTGAGTCAGGAGGGCAGATTCCTCATAAATAGATTGTAGCCCTCCCTGGGTCAAGTGAGTCATCCCCCTGTTAGTTCCTGGCAGAGCTGGTTGTTAGGAAGAGCCTGGTACCTACCCTGTCTCTTTTGCCTCCTCTCTCTCCACGTGATCCCTATACTCCAGTTCCCCTGCACCCCAGTTCCCCTTCACCTCTGCCATGAGTGGGAGCAGCCTGAGGCCCTCTCCAGATGCCCGATCTTCCAGCCCGCAGAACCCTAAGCCAAATAAGCCTATTGTATTTTCAAATTACCCAGTCTCAGGTATTCCTTTATAGCAACACAAAGTGGACTACGACAGACCTCAATAGGAAAATGGACAAAAGATTATATATATATATATAAAATTTGAAATGCCAAGGACTAAGAAACATAGTAAAAAGGTTAATTGTTTCCAGAAACAAATGTGTTAAAAATGAGAAACTATTGTTACGTACCATATGAGCAAAGGTTTAAAAGATGTAATTCGTTTCAAAGCGTTGAGGACTACTAGTAGTCTTCTCAAATGTCAATTGCTGATGGAAGAATAAATCACTCCTTTAACTAAAACATGATGAATACACATGTTGAAGCCTTTATATATGTTCATGTTCAGACAATTGGATTAAATAATTCTCCTATGTTTTTGAGATTCATCTACAAGAATGTTTATCACCGTGTTATTTATAATGGCAGTATGTTGAAAACAATCCAAATGTTCATGCCTTCTTTAAATCATTTATTCCATAAATGCCAAGATCTGTTATGTTCTAAACACTGCGTTAGACGCTGGGGACACACTGGTGAATAAAATGTGTGTGGTTCCTGTTCTTCATGGAATTCATAGTTTAGTGGGAAATACAGTAATAAATGAATTAACAAACAAGAATTGTCTAAGAACTATGGTTGAACAATGGTATTATTGTTCAGTATGTTCCATCATGCTATATCCTTATAATAAAATACTATGGGACCATTAAAAGTGATGTCTATAAAGAATGACATCTATCCATCCATCTATCCCTTCATCCATCCAACAAATACTTATTGAATACTGAATATGCACCAAGAACTAGGGCAGGCATAGAGGATGCAATTGTCAAAACAAACACAGCCCTCACATAAGCAGGAAATCATGATCCTGTTGCTAAGGACTGTGATGGAAGTGACAGATTTAATCCAAGATTAAACTCCTAACTCTGTGGTCACGGTCCCAACGTGTCCTAAAATTTGGCCTTCATTGACCTTGTCCTCTTCTGGAATATGCTTCCCTTTCCGCAGGTTACTCCTTATGACCTCCCCTTCTTCGTGTAGTCTTTCCTGATCACCCAGTTCAAACAGGCGTTCTTCTCCAAATTTTCTGGCATTTACCATCAGAAACACTCATTTGGCATTTATCACATTTTGTCCTTTATGGCCAGTTATTTGTTACTGTGTTTGCAATGCCCCTCGCAATGCGATGATAATACTGTCCTCTTCCCTTAGAACACTCTCTTCTCCCCTTTCCAGCTGTCCAACTCCTACTGAACACTCCCAGGCACAGCTCAGTAGTCACGCCCTTCCCTGGGCACCCACAATGGCTTTTTGTGCGTCATAATTTGAGTCAATAAACCAGAATGTATTCCCTATAAGGCTAGAAAATCTATCTGCCTTGTCTTAGCATCTCTGGAGGTGTCTAGCTCAGTGCTGGAGTCAAATAGGTGATGCCATCAGATGTGGAGTCCATGAGTGGATAAGTAGGAATGAATTGAGGGCATTTTGAGGATGGCTTTAATGTGTTATAGATTATAGGTTGGCCGTGCTATGCTGTTTTTTCTCATATTGCATACAGAGTACTATGCACGTAGCAGGTGCCTAATAAATATAAATTGCTTTATTAATTGTGATATATGTAATGATAACTTTATTATTAACATTATTGTTCAATACCGCCATCCCTACAAGGAATCTGTCACAAAGAAGCAGGGGCTTGGTCCATTTCCCTCTCACCCTTAGGGAGGAGAACTTCCTTCTGGGGCCGTGTCTGTCCAGAGAAGACCCTTGTCTGCATCTGGGGACAGGGCTCCTGACTTGTGTGCAGACTCGGTCCCCAGGCAGGTGCCTTCACGACACGCCTCGCAGGAGGTGTGACCCCCACCCAGGACGTCACTCTGTGTGGGAGCCGCAGGTGGGAGGGCAGAGGCCTGGGTCTTCCTGCAGTCTGTGCACGTGGATGGCACATGTACCTGTGGCCCGTGGGGACATACTGGAGCAGCAGTCAGATACCTGAATAGTCCTAGAGGGTGGAGAGCCCGTTACTAAGGGGAATGATTATTTTCCTGTCCGACGTACCTGCTAAGGCAGGAGTCTGAACTCGGGACCTGTTATCAGCGTAGGTGGTTTCTGCCGGCTCTTTCACAGGAAGCCGCGGCCTCTCCTTCCCTCCTCCTGCCGAGCGGCGCTGTCTGCACCCCACAGTACCTCCTCCAAGCATCTCAGCAAGGACAAAAAAAAGGCGCAACAAAACAAAACCCAAATATCCGACTCAGCAGAGCTGCGCTGTCCAACTGGCTGTACATATCCTGACGATTTTGGTCCCTCATCTTTTCCCCCTGAGTAAAGCTGTTCTTTTGATCCCAGCAACTCTGAGAGCAGCACGGCACTGAGATAACGTTTTATAAAAGTTGCTGGGCATCATAGCCAGAGAGGTCCGGCCTCTAAGACAGAAATTCTGCTGAGACAACGTCTCCCAGGCTTTCTCTTCCATCCTGGGTGCATGGAACTTGGCTCCTGTGCCTGGTCAGAGGCAGTGAATGAGGTGGATACAGGTGCCTGGGGTTCCCAGGGTGGTCCCTGGGTGAGACCTGGCTGGTGGTCCCAGCCCGTTCCACTCCTGGGAAGGTTTTGGGTCACACCATTGTGATGTAGAAAAACCCTGGCTGGGGGAGGCGGGCACGGTGACTCACACCTGTAATTCCAGCACTTTGGGAGGCCAAGGTTGGTGGATCACCTGAGGTCAGGAGTTCAAAACCAGCCTGGCCAACATGGCAAAGCCCCACCTCTACTAAAAATAAAAAAATTAGCCGGGCACAGTGGTGGGTGTCTGTAATCCCAGCTACTTGGGAGGCTGAGGCAGGAGAATCACTTGAACCTAGGAGGCGGAGGTTGCCGTGAGCCAAGATCACGCACTCTGGCCCGGGCAACAGAGCAAGATTCTGTCTCAACAACAACAACAAAAACAAAAAACAAAACAAAACCCTGGGGGTATATCTGAGGCCACCAGAAAGGGGCTCGGTGAAGGGATGAGACAGAGTGGGAGACGGCAGTGCCTGGGTGATGGGAGAGAGCAGGAGAGGGGGATTAGGGGAACTGCTGCTGATTTCATAGGGAAGCAGCTGGGACGGGGCGGTGGAGTGAGAACTAGGATTGTCCCATACACAATACAATTGCATATTGGACACACAGCCCGTACCATTCCTTATTCTATGAAATCCACCGTCCTGGAGGGTGAAGTTGAAAGGCTGATGACATGAAGTCCATCTGGGATCGGGCATGATTCTGGGTGCCAAATGGAGCACAGGTCCCTCCCTTCCCAGGGGGCCAGGCTGGCTCCTCAGCCAGGCTCAAGGTGTAGGGCGCTGGCCTTTGTTGGCCCTCACTGGGACCTGGCTGTCCCTGAGTGGGCGGACTTCTGAAGCCTAACTCTTCTGGATCCCTTTGGCTGCATCCTCTGTTCCTGGGCCACGTCCGTCTTTCAAAGGCTTCAACCTCTCACAGATCTGGTCTAGATCACGGACTTGCCCCATATGTCTTGACAGCTCCCCGAGCCTGTCTGAGCTTTTATTCCCTTACCTGTTTAATGAGAGTGCTGTGTGAGGGTCCACCGGGTAATTTGAGTGATGCCCTTGCCATCTCTGTCCCCTGCGGGTCATTCTGCCCAAAGGGGTGCATAGCGTCAGGACCACCAACTCCTCCCAGAGCACTGAGGTCCCTGCTGCCTGGTTAGTGGGTCCCAGGGAAGCCAAGTGCATTTGGAACGGTATTCCCATCTTGCACTTTCGGGACCCCCTCTGTGGTTCTGAGAGGAGGAAACAGCTCTAACCTTGGTGATCTCGACTGTGCTGGGCCCTGGGTTGTGAGGCAAATGGAGTGCAGAGGCCCTGGGGGAGGACGCGTCCCTCGCCACAGTCACTGCCCAGTGCAGTGGGCAGGGAATTTCCCAGGGTGCACTGGGCCAAGGGGCCGGACTCTGAAGTCCGCGGGGTTGAGGTCTCCACGCCAACCAGGTGACGGCGGCCGCCTCGCCTCGCCCAGACAAGAAAGCTCGATCTAATCTCACTCTGAACTTTTCCCAAGGCTTTTGCTGCGCTTTGCTGTAGCTCCAAAGCTGCATTAGCGAGCACCAGGCTCCTTTATAAATGGTCTGTGACCCCAGAGGTCTGCTCGCCGACGGAGCTGTCTATTTTAGGGATCGTGGGTGGAGGGGGCATCTCAGAGGCTTCTGGAAAATTCCTGACGGGATTGTGTCTGTGTCCTGTCTCAACCCTCCAGTCGACAGATCAGACAGCTTGTACTCACAGGCCAAGGACGCGTGGAAAGAGACTCAATCTTCTAGATGGTGGTAGCAGCCACGGCCTTCTGTCCTCTGGATCCTCGCAAGCCTGGATGAACTCAAGATCTGACTCAGTGGCACAGTGAGGGGACCTTCGAGGCCTCAGTGACCATCCTTGGACTTCACCTCTCATGACTTTCAGGCAGAGAGGCCCTCCCATGCCCACAATAGGCCGAGCCCAGCCTTCCTTGGGATTTGCCTCCAGGCCTGACTTTTACTTCCCTTTCTAAGTGGTGAGTAGCTTGGTGATGGTGGATGAGAAGGAACCAGAGACAAAACCTGCCTCGCAGGCAGAGCTGTCACAGTCCTCAAAAGACCAAAGTCACAAGGGCCTGCGGGTGCCTGCACGGCTGCCCAGAGGGGGTGATGCCAGCCCCAGGCCCATTGCCTTTGCAGGCCGGGGTCCTGCAGTGCTGGGTGGGAGGGGGCGGCTCTGTCCACGTGTGAAAAGCCCAGGGGGGCTGTAGCTTGCAGCAGACGGCAGTTCTCAGTTTGCCTGTTACTCCTTTCTGTCTTCAGTGGGGGTCGGGAGGTGGCAGCCCCAAAGACCTCTCCTTACCACCTTGTCTTTTCCATGGAGGTTCCCACGCAACGCTTGTCCCTGTCCCTGAGATTTCAGACCTTTCCACAGCGCAAAGCCTCCTGCCTTGAGACTACTGCAGTGAGCAAGGTGAACCCCATCCCCAAGCTAAGGCAAGAATGCTGGCCTCTTCCGTCGCTCCTAAGTTCCAGGCTGACCTCTTCCTTCAACTCAACAGATCCAAAATGAAACCCGGCGTCTTTAGCTCACCCTCGTCCCCCGCTGCCCCTGCCAGGGTCTTGGCCACCCTGATCCAGGCCCCCTGGTCACACCTCCAGGCCTGGCAATAATATTACCTGGACTCCTTGAAGACTGCAACCAGATTAATCATCCCAGAGCTCTGCTTTGATAATATCACTTTTATAGACACATAAAAAGAAGCATCGAGGCAGCCAGTCATGCTAAATCTTAACCATCTTTACAGAATTTTTAGTGCAGCCCATCAAAATTGTCACCAGCCCTGAAGGTTCCACGTTTATGGTGTCCATGATAACACCTCCTATGCTGGAGGCAGCAGCACTTGGAGATGGTGCAGAGCTGGCACTGCAGGAGGTGTCCTCGCCAGGCCTGATCTCACAGCCAGGCCTGCTTCTCCTGGTTCCGCACAGAGCCCATGGTCACCTCCTGCGACTCCCACCCCAGAGGCGTAAGTGAGCAGTCTCTGGGTACCACCGGCACTCCTCTGCGAGGTGACAGATGGCAGCTTTAAAGATGTTGGGCCGTTGGGCATTACCTTTTCAGTGGCTGGGTGTCCTTGGCGGGGCTGGCATGGGCAGGCTGGTCGGCTTCAGCAGCGGCTGTGGGCCAAACAGCTTGGGAGCAGTTGTGTCAAGGTGGAGATTGGACTAGAGGGGAACAGGAAGTGGGACCAGCAGTTCTGATTCACGGGGCTTGCGTTATGGGTGGTTGTTTTCTGTGAAAGCCCCATTGATGTCACAGTGACGTGTGGTAATAATGAAAAAGACAACGCTTGTAAAGACACAGAGGCAGTGAGGAATGAAAACAATTTGGTGAGCTTTGTGGAGCTGGACTCCCTGAGTTCAAAACCCAGCTTCAACACTGACTGGCTGTGTGACCGCCCGACCTCGTCTCCATCTCCCCGGGAAGCCTTCCCTGACTGCCTCAGTGTGCTGTCAGCTCGGTGTCTTCTGGTCTCCCGGGACTGACCTGCTGGGCCGTGTACTTGGTGTTCTGTGCATGGCTTCTGTGGCTGTGTATACGGTGACGTGCATAGCACGTGTTTCCCCAACGAGTTTGTAATCTCTGCGTGCACAGACTTGATTTAAATTTCTTCCTGACCCTGCGGTGCTCTGGGAAGCCGTCTGATTGTTGCGATTTTGCTCCTGTGGCCTGTGCTAGCCGCCTGGTTGGCAGCTGGGACTGAAGGATACTCATCCACTTGCCTGACCACAAGCCTGGCACCGGCCCTGCCTTTGTTCGCCCACGAGTCCCTTTGAAGGCGACCCATTCGTGGTGGGAGGCGTAGAGTCCAGCAGGGCTCTTGTACCTTTTGCCCTCCTGAATCCTGGAGGAAGAGCTGGCTTCCTCATCCGTACAGAGGGAAAAACAAACGAGCAGTTGCCTTGGGCAGAGTCCACAGTCCAGCCTGCTTGGCTGCTGGCGGGGAGGTGCCAACTACAGAAGGCATGGGCCCTTCCAGGTGTGGACTTGGCCCCTGGGCAGTGCGATCTGTGGCCTCCTTACCAATGGTGAGGAGTGGAGAAGAGTCTCTCTCTGCTGTGTATGGCAGCCTCAGCCCACACAGGATGCTGGCATTTCTGTGCTATTAAATAATTAACTTGGTACTACATGGAGTAAAACATGCATTGGTCTGGTAAAAGGCCTCAATTAATTGCTTTCGTGTTAGCTGTGTACTGTGTCTCCAGGAGGAGATAAGAGGTGGGAACGTGGGTTTTGAAGCCAAGCTGAGAGACAAGTACCCTCACAAAAGGCGGTAAGTCCCCTCACAAAAGGTGGTAAGTCCCCCTCTTCCCATGCAGTTGGGTCTGTTCAGTGGAGCAGCACAGAGGTGGCAGCCACCGCCGGTTTTGTCTCTGGTCATCTTTGGGGGAGTAAGGAGGGGGACATGGGATCCTGCTCCCTGCTGATAGGTGGTGTGTGACTGGCTGCCTCGGATGGGCCGACCCAGGCTGTGACAGGTGGTGGCAACATTGGGCTGCTTTTCTGCCACTGCTCTTGGAAAACGCTCTGAGTCATCACACGCCTGCCTTCTGCACCTTCCGGAGGCGGCCTCTGCTGACTGCATGTGGCTGTCAAGGCTGGGGACATTCATGGGGCCTGCAATGCCGCCTAACACACGCAGTGACCGGGAAGTGTTGTCTCGTGGTAGCTTGCACTGTGTGGATTGGTGCCCACCCCACCATGCTGCCCTCATGTGGTGTCGTGTCCACCTCCCCACAGGATGTCCCATCCTCCAGGGCAGAGACTGCTTGATTCTTGTGTTTCCTGCCGGAGCTCAGGGTCCAGGGCCCCTGCCGCTCGCCAGGACTGTGCTGAGCTCCTGCAGGTGGGGACGCAGCAGTCCTGAGAGTAGGCACTTAACAATAATTTCAAATAAATGGACGTTCTCAGATGTGACTGGGCGCCCCTTTGGTTTTAGGGACCATTGTGGGCAGTGGAGTTACAGTGAGACCAAGACACACCAAAGCTCCCTCATGGAGCTTAGATTTTGGTGAGAGGAGATGTACAGTAAACAAATACAAAAGGAAGAGGCCCAGGGTCCTGGGGTGGTGATCAGCAAAGGACAATAGAACCAGAGGGCAGGAAATGCCAGGGCGTGGGGGATTGGATGAAGCTGCCATTTCTTTTTAATTTTTAATTTCTGTGGGTACACAGTGGGTATAGATATTTGCGGGGTATGTGGGGTATTTTGATACTGGCGTACAATGGGTAATAACCACATCAGGGTGAGGAGGGGTGTCCATCCCCCGCAAGCACTTTTCCTTTGTGTTACAGGGAGCTGCAGTTTTAAGAAGGGTGGTCAGGGAAGCTGTGACTGAGAAGGTGACGTTTAGGCCAAGGCTGGGAGGAGGAGAGGGCTGGCTATGCGCTGATGTGAGAGGAGGCCTTCCACACAGGTTCGGGAGTCACAGGAGGCCCCTGTGGCTGGAACTCAGCCTGTGCGGCAGAGGGGTAGATGTTAAGATCAAAGAGGTGACTGCAGCCAGATCGTGTGGGGCTCATCAGGATGTTAGCTTTTCTTGGATATGAAACCACTGGGTGGTTTGGAGTCTCTGGAACTGTGTCATGGGGGACAGAATAGTGGCCCCTGGACCCTGAGAGTGGGCACCCACGTGATTAAGTCATGGATCTTGAGATGGGAGATACACCTGGATTATGGGGAGGTCCACATCTAAATACAAGTGTCCTTATAAGAGGGAGGCGGGAGGGTGAGAGTTGAAGAGGGAGGTGTAAGGATGGAGGCGGAGGGCAGAGGTCAGAGAGACACCTGACAACGCTACACTGCCAGCTTTGAAGATGGAGAAGGGCCACCAGCCAAGGAACGTGGGCACCTCTGGAGGCTGGAAGAGGCAAGGACATGATTCTCCCTGAGGACCTCCAGCAGGGAGGTCAGCCCTGCCCATCCATTTTGACTTCTGACCTCTTGAACTGTAAGATGATAAGTCTGTGTTGTTTTTGACATCAAGTTTGTGATAATTTGTTACAGCAGCAATAGACGGTGAATACAGGTACCAGGAATGAGGCTTCACAGCTCCCAGGGCATCTCTGAGTCATTTGGGTGTGAGATTCCACTGGATAGAACAGAGCCAGGGAGGGGGAAGCCTGGCTTCCACTCAGCACTTCTAGGTGGGTAATGGAGAGAGTGAGGCTGCTATGCGAGCTGCCTTTGGAAATGAGTCCATCGAGTTCCAGCGGCTGACCCTGGACCAGGAGTCCACCTGGGGCACCTGGGTTGAAGCACCTGTCACCTCTATATGTAAGCAGACTGCATCATGCAGGTGATGGTCCCACCCAGGGCACAGCACTTCTCTTACAGATTTTGCCCAGATCAGTCATTTGAGGTATTTGCATTTCCTGGACCATCCCTGGATGACAGTAGAGAAGGTGACCAGGAGCCAGGCAGGTGTTGGTGGCTGGAGGTTAGGCACAGGGTGGATGAACCTCTAATGGAGCATTCAGCATTATCTAAGGGGGTAGAGGGCTTTTCCTCTAGGGAGGTTGGGGTGAGGCATGTGGCTCCTCAGGTGTTCTCCACATTCTAGATGTTACCATCCTTCTGAGGGCTCAGAGGAGAATCAAAGAGAAGAGCCAGGGACTGGAACGTTGGGGCCTCTGGCCAAATTCAAAGAACTGGATGTTCAACTTGAAGAGTTGGTTCTCCTCATTCCTCTTCCACATGGCCTGGACTCACCTGCTCAGTAGTGTCAACTCTACCTTTGGTGGCTTCTTTAAAGTAGACCTTATGCTATCTTCTTCCAGTCAACCCTAAGTTCATCCTCCACATAGGCTTTCCAATCTCCCCTCCTTCCAGAAGCCTTCCAAACCTGATCAGATGAAGATCAACAGCCTCCCTGGTCCCATTGTTGGGGAATTCTGATGGGTATGTGTCCATTACTCTCCACACTCAGTGTGTTTTTTTCCAATATGGTTTTGATATTAAAAGTACCTTTA